ACAAATTGTTAATAAATTTTTTGTTAAATAGTTAATGAATTATTTGACAAATTGTTAATAAATTTTTTGATGAATTGTTAATAAATTATAAATATACTATTTTGTAATATTTATAATCAAATTATATAATTTTCAATTTATTTATATCATTTTTTTGTCAAATTGTTTAATTTTTGCTGAATATTATATGAGTGACAGTATGCTAAATAATTTTTTTTTGATTAATGATAATTAGTAAGAAACTAAAGTTTTATTTTTATATAATATAACTTTATAATTTGATTCTAGATAGATTTGAACTAGAAATCTTTATTTGAAAATTATTATCTAAGCTAGGGACCTATAATCTTTCATAAATGAATATTCTAAAATATAAAGATTAGAATTACTTATAATTTTCAAAAAAAAATTAATTTATTTTATTTTCTTTATAATATTTTAAAATAAATAAATAATAAATTTTATTTTAAAACTAATAACCTTAGTTATTATGTTTCCAGTTAGATGTATTGTTATTTATTATAATAACCTAATTGTTATTTCTCATGATCACTACTACATATGATGCTTCGGACTAATTAATTAATTATATACAGTATTTCAAACATCCCAGCACAAATAGATGATATAATCAATCCGTTTTAGATATCACTTATTGGAATAAAATGATAATGCATCTGAAAGAATCATTTGGATACGTGATTTAGGGTTCCCAAATCAATCATATTGTAGAGAACTCCTATTGCATTGAAAAAAGGGCGGCCCTTAGTCAGCACACGTAAAACTAAGCCTCGATTTCTTATCGAAATTCGTGAGCATAGCATTTTTTGATTCCCCATAATTTTTCCAAAAAAGTAAGATGGGATTGGAAAAAGACCCCTTCTTAAGTTCTCACAAAACGCTTTTTAATTAATCCCCACGTTTGCGGAGTAGTGTGTGGAGTGGGACCATCTTATCGTGTATATTTTTTGTGTCGACCTCGGAACAATGACTAGTTCAAGACGAGAAAAATTAATGCTTAAAAAAGAAAAATAACCAATCGCCGTGATGATGTAAGAGGTCACACCACTTTACGTAACGATAGTTGAACCACGCATGAAAGTAACTCCGACTTGAATTCACAAATAAGGCAATAACATACACGAACTTATCACGAAAAATTAGAACATTATAACGTTCGTTGAAAAAAACTTTCTGAAAATGCCTCCCGATTTTCTCACGCTGTTGCAGGACTAGAAGTGGGATTAAAAAACAGAAGCCCCCACAATTCCCTTTAAAGTAGGATAGTTCGATTGCATTTTGAGTTACACCGGCAAAGGGGTTTGACTCACTTCCTCATTAATGAAAAAATTCCCAATAATTATATATATATAAACCATGCATAATTTCTCAAAGGCTTCAACTGACCCCGCTAATTCAAAAAAAAAAAAAAATGGATACCGAATTCTTGAATTCTTTGTCCAAAGATTTCGTCAAACTACTGTGTAACTCGGAAGATTATAATGTCATCATTAAAGTTGGGGAGTCGCCGAATATCGAGAATTTTAAAGCTCATTCGTGCGTATTGCGCGCAAGGTCACCGTACTTCTATTCGGCCTTATCTGGCAATTGGGCCAAGACCGAGGGAAATGCGATTATTTTTGAAAAGTCCAACATTTCTTCTCAAACATTTCAAATGGTATTAGAGTAAGTTTTTTAAAATGCATTTTAGCTATGGCAAATTGAATAATCGCAAAATGATTTTTAGGCCATGAGATAATACTGACACACCAAAACAACTCATGTTACAAATTTACAGATATCTATATTCTGGCACAATTTCTCTCGATCAATCACATCCTACACATCTATTGGATCTCCTGGTTGCGGCGGACGAATTGATTCTTACCGAGCTCGTGAAATATTTGAAAGACTTCCTTCTTAATTCTCACCACAAATGGATTTGCCAGCACCCTCTTCAGGTGTTGTATCACACTGCCTTCCGCTTGGAAAGTTGCAAGGAATTACAGGAATTGTGCTTGAAGATCATTTGTGAAAATCCAACTTTGATATTTGGAACCACGGCTTTCTTGACGATTGATGAACCAGTTCTCGTTTCAATCCTTCAAAGGGATGACCTTCAGATAGATGAAGTCGAGATATGGGATTTCCTGATTAGATGGGGTATCGCTCACACGCGTACACCGGGGCTTGACGCTGATGTTTCCAAGTGGTCAAACGATGATTTTTCTGCGTTGAAGTCCACTTTACAAAATTGTATCCCGCTCGTCAAATTTAGCCACATAAGTCCCGACGAGATACCTTCCCGACTGAGTCCGTTTAATAGGATCTTGACAAGCAGCGATAAGTGCTTGAGAGAGGAAGATTCGATGTTCAAGACTCTGATTGATTCAAAAATTATTAAATTGAAGCACGCCTCACTCATCTCTCATTGGATCGACCTTGAAGAAGACAAAAAACGAGTATACAGGGAATCCCCCTCTCATGAATTCAAACTTCTTTTACGTGGCAGTCGAGATGGTTTTAGTGCACGTAAATTCCATGAGCTTTGTGATCACAAGGGTAGAACAATTGTGGTCATGAAGGTTGCAGGTACCGGAAAGATTGTTGGAGGTTATAATCCCGTGAGCTGGAGGAGCGGGTTCTTTGGCAGATGGATTAAGACAAACGACAGTTTTATTTTTTCTTTCGACGACAACGAAAATTTAAATAATTCAAAGATATGTAGAATTTTATCTCAACACTCGGGGATGGCCTTATTTGGAGCAGACGTCCGTGGACCGTGCTTTGGAAATCGTGATTTGTGGATGTCAAATTTCAACAATCTGTCACGGCAATGCTCGAGTCAGAGGTCGTATTATGATAAAAGCGTAATCGATTCGAATAAATTTGACGTGGAGGATTACGAAGTGTTTCTTATTTCTAAAAATAACATTCCCAAAGAAGAGAAAATTTTTTCTTCATAAATATTTATTGGTATCCCTTTCAATCCTCTTCCTATAAGGTGGAATACATAGAAATTTGTAAATAACCAAAAAAAAAAAAAAAAATCATATATACATAAATAAAATATTTAAAATTTTCTGAGGGCGTAAGAAGTCGTGGCGTGCGCCGCCGACTGAAATCCAATGATTCAACTTTATCTTCAGGAAAGTTAATCCGAGATGAACTGTTGTTAACTTATGTAATATCGATTAGAATTAATAAACAAATTACCTCTTATGGTTGGAATATCTGCGGTGGCCGGCATAATGCATGCTATCTCGTGAAATTAAAAAATTTTTTTTTACTTCAAGACCATTGGTTTTGACAAAAAAAAAAAACCCCCATTTCGCCTAAAATAGTACTCGGTGTTAACGTTTTAGACAGCTGCGAAGGTAATATGTGCATTCTCGCAGGGAGTACAGGGGTCAAGTGCTTTTATCTATGACCAATTGTGTACTGACAGAGCCACTAAAAGAATTATACTGTATATCATTGATCCATTAAAACGCCTCATGTGTATAAAAATGGAGAGCGCCGACAATCCTAATATTCAAATCTTTCAACTAGCGTCATATCTGACATTTTTAGGAAATTCAAAAATTAAATATTTATATAATATAAAATTCACAGCCACTGTAATTCGACATTTATGGTCGTAGAATTGTTGGAGCTTGTTTGACATCACACAACTTCAAAATCCAAATTCTTATTTATTTAAAGGCCTCGAATATAAGATTCTCCATCGCTCCTGCATTCCTCAAAATAATAAAGAAAAAAAAAAAAAAAATAAACCCCTTTTTTCAAAACATTTTCATATAACTCCCTCTCGAACAGATGATTTCTGGTTGACTGCATGGTCCCTCTCTTTCTTGTGACCTAGATTACTTATTGTACCTTGAATCATTGGAACCACCATGACATCCCTTGTCCATTATCCGGAAGAAGATGCGACAGCAACTTCTTCCTCCGTGGTTGAAACTGTCGTGCAAATTGATTCAGAACCACCGAAATATGATCTTGATCAGATTCAAGGATTAGACCCCGTTCAATCTTTGGACGAACTTCGTCCACTATCCCGAGAACTCGCCGAGAAAAGGCTACTAACCTTTGGTCCAAACGTCATCACTGCCTATCAACCCTTAAAATGGTAAGGTTTCCGATTTTTAGATTTGGCCTTCCGTTAAACGAACAATCGCGATAATAACAGCTTCGATTCTTTCTTCATTAGGTATAAACTCCTATTCAACTCCATCCTTCATCCCTTCAACTTGATACTGGGTAGCTTTGCACTTTTCAGCGGGGTGACGATGGACTTCAATACCATGACATTTCTCATTGCCATGATACTCTTGTCTGTTGGGCTTCGTTTCACCCAAGAGTATAAAAACGAACGTGCTGCGCAAGGCCTCAAGTCGATGGTTAGTAACAAGGCAACGGTGATTCGTCTTTATGGGCCACCGGATGATCGGTAAGTATCTTTATTTTTTATGTCGTCACGTGGTATATTCTGATTGGTTGTGTTTATTTTTGGTAGGGATCCAAATTTCGAGGATCTGAAGAAGATGGATCAGGGAGAGGTGGTTGAACTGGAAATTCCTTTAGAGGACATCGTACCCGGAGACTGGGTTAAACTATCTGCCGGAGATCTCATTCCTGGTGATTTGCAAATCCTGTCTTCAAAAGACTTATTCGTCTCACAAGCTTCTTTGACCGGTGAGGCCATTCCGGTTGAGAAGTTTGTTACTCAACAGCGACCACCAATTTCTATTTCTGATGGGAAACCCGATGAAATGCAAAAGGTCAAAGGGATTGAACTTGATCAACCGGACTTTTGTTTTATGGGTACGTCCGTCGTTTCGGGTACTGCAATTGGCTGCGTATTGAAAACGGGAAGTTCCACTTTCTTCGGTGTCATGGCCAAGAATCTTGCCGGTCGTCGACCACCCAACGCCTTCCAACAAGGGATAAAGAAAGTCTCTTACTTCTTCGTAATCGTAATGCTCAGTATGATGCCTCCCGTGCTGTAAGTCTTTCGACCTTTTTTTTTTTTTTTTTTTTTTTTTTTTTTTTTAGTTTTTGTGTGGAATAAGTACTGACTTTTAATTTTACTCAGTTTATTACAAGGATTTCTGAATCATGACTGGTGGAATGCCTTTTTGTTCGCGGCTTCCGTCGGTATCGGTCTTACCCCAGAAATGCTGGTGCGTATCCCTTGCACATGACATCATGAGGTCGTAGCATGTTCCTTTATATTTATTTATTTATTTATTTATTTAGCCAATGATTGTCAACGCCAATTTGGCACGTGGTGCATTGGCCTTATCGAAGAAGAAATGTATCGTCAAGAATCTCGACTCCGTTATTACCCTTGGAGGAGCGGATATTTTGTGTACCGATAAGACTGGTAGGTACAATTTTTTATGTTTTATTTCAATGCCGGAATTAAAAATACATTAATATTACCTATTTCTCTTAAGGCACGTTAACTCTCAACAAGGTCACACTCATGAAACACGTTAATCATCTCGGAGCACCGTGTCCATTTCCTTTACGTTTAAGTTATCTTAACAGTTACTTCCAAACTGGACTTAAGAATCTCATGGACGTTGCCATTATTGATTTTTTCGAGAAGGGAGGCGAAGGCAACGAATGCCGAGTTGTTGATGAGGTTACCAAAGGATTTCTTAAGGTTGACGAGATCCCCTTTGATTTCGTGAGAAGACGAATGTCCGTCATCTTAGAAACCGATTGGGATCCCAATCATAGATTCTTAATCTCCAAAGGAGCTGTTGATGAGATGTTAGCGTGTTGCGAAAATATTTACTTGGGGAGCGACGATTTGAAACCGGATGTTGACTGCATTGAGGGCTTTTTCCCCGCCTCCGATATTTTCCAACTTACCCCAGAAATCATCGAGCATATCAAAAGTCTGAACGAGGATCTTAACGAAGATGGTCTTCGGGTAATTGCTGTTGCTTACAAGCGGATGAAGGAACTTGTCGAGCCATTTACCGTTGCCCACGAAACTGGATTGACTTTGGTCGGATTTTGCGCGTTCCTTGATCCTCCAAAACCAAGTGCCAAGCCCGCACTCCGAGAGCTCTTCAAATACAACGTTTCTGTCAAGGTTCTTACCGGAGATTCTCCGACTGTTTGCCGAAAGGTTTGTCAAGAGATAGATCTTCCCGTGAAAGCCATAGTCACAACCACCGACCTTGAAGGTATGAGTGATGCGCAGATCGAAGAGATTGCGGAAAATGCCACGATATTTGCAAAGTTGACGCCGCTTCAGAAAGCTCAGATCGTAAGAGCTCTAAAACGACGTGGTCATATTGTTGGTTTTCTTGGAGATGGCATCAACGATGCACCTGCTATTCGAGAGAGCGACTGCGGCATCAGTGTGGACGAAGGGACCGACATCGCCAAGGAATCTGCCGACATTATTTTGTTGGAAAAAAGTCTTACAGTGCTGGCGGATGGTGTCGTTGGAGGGCGAAACACTTTTGGTAACACCATTAAATACATAAAGATGGCCATTTCTTCCAATTTTGGTAACGTCTTTAGTATATTGGTCGCCTCGGCGTGGCTCCCCTTCCTTCCGATGTTGCCTCTCCAAGTCATTGTGCAAAACTTTTTGTATGATATTTCACAAATCGCTATCCCTTGGGATAGAATGGTACGTCAGACGATCTAGCGATTTGATTTTCACTTTTCAGTTCACCTTTTTGACTGACCCTTAACTTCTACCATCAAGGACCCCGAATTTGTACTCGAACCAAAACGATGGAGCCCCATGAGCATCGCGAGATTTATGGCTTTTATTGGCCCATGGAGTAGCATCTTTGATATAACCACTTTTATTTTCATGTGGTATTACTTTAATTGCAAGGATGCAACTCCCTATCACCAAACACTCTTTCGTAAGTTAAAATCTCTTTGATTTTTGATGTTCATGTTTTTACTCTATTTTTTTTTTCTTTTAAAAAATCATTTTTCATTATTCATTCACTTAAGATACTGCCTGGTTTTGCGAGGGCCTGTGCACTCAGACCTTAATTGTTCACATGATCCGTACGCCAAAGATTCCGTTTATTCAATCAACTGCCGCCCCAGTCGTTCTCTTTGGTACTCTTTTCGTTATCGTCTCTGGTATTCTTATTCCGTACACTCCGATAGGTAGCTTCTTGGGTATGGTTGCCCTTCCCGGAGTTTATTATCCATATCTCATATCTGCGATTACTGGATATTGGATGCTCACCAACGTAGCAAAGAAGATTTATCTTCACTTTTTCCATGAATGGCTGTAGACGTTTGTCCTTCTGCACGCCACATTATTCGGGTTTTTTATTTATCAGGCTGCCCTTTAATTTGTCAAAGGAAATCTTTATATGTATTATTAGCACAAAAATTCTTAGAAAAAAAAAAAAAATCATAATGTGTATTTTATAAATAAATATATATTTAATTGTACTAGTAATCTTCAGGATGATAAATTAAAAATATGCGATGTTTTTGTACTGCGCGTCTTGGTGTGCACATTAAATTAAGAGATTAAGATTAAATGATAAACCTTGCATGACGATAGTGAAAGTGATATTTAAGGGTTTTTTCATTTTAGTCAATTATGCGAAACAATTGCCCGGTGTAACGCATTTACGGTGGCAGGAAATGTTGATGACAAGTGACAGATAGGGACGTCTTGGCGACAATCCTATCCTGTGTGATCCAGATGCCGGACCATTTATCGGTAAGCATTAATAGTATTCTGCTGAAACGAAGTTTTCAAGATATGAAATTAAAGGTCTTCTTCTTCCCTCGGAAGTTTTCATTAATTGTGAATAAAAAAAGGGGTAGCAATCGGCTAAATTCGAAGTACGATCTACGGATTCGTTGTCACAGGGATGACGTCGGTAGTTCTTTTAGAAAACATGATTTGAGATTGAAGTTCGATACAGCATATAACATAATCCGTCCACGGATTTTTCGTTCCACACGCACCACCGAAAAAAAATTATTTTTTTTTATTTGGAAATAGCAATTAGGTTCGTCGAAACAGTCGGATCGATCCTTGCTCTGTGTTCCGAAATATATATATGCATCGACCAGGTCGCAAATGTTTTGGCTAATCAACAAATTGCTTCATATGCTTTCCGGTTTTAGAAACTTCCCCCGGTGAAACGTTGAGCACAACCCAGATCACAACATTCCATTACTCTATATAGAGATGAGATCATTCCAACTTTCATCGTCACCCTTTCACTTTTCATTTTTTTATTTTTTTTTTTATTTTTTTTTTTTTTCAAGAAAAAAAAAAAAAAAAAAAATGACCAGTTACACTCACACGATACCACCCTCGTTACCTTTAGATTGTCTCGAAGAAATTTTAGGGTACCTCACGGAGGACCGAGGTACACTTTATTCGTGTATTCTTTCCTCCCGTCTACTTTGTAAACTGTCGATGCCTTTGCTTTGGTTTCACCCTTTTAAGGCCAAGTTCATTCATGACAAATCACAAACCATCATTCAAGTGCTGCTATCGTCTCTCCCGGAGTTAGAAAGGCAGCGCCTGATCAACGAGGGAATCAAGTTGCCGACGAATTTGCCTACACCTTTATTTGAATACCCAAAGTACGTCCAAGGGTTTGACACGGGACATTTTCAGATGGCCATCTATCAATGGTTGAATGCTTATAATAAATTTAATAAACTAAATAGATCATATTTCATTGGCTTCATGGGAAATGTCATTGGGAGCTATGTGTTTGGCGCATCACGTGGCATAAAATACCTAACCCTAAATTATGAGATTGAGCATATCGAGAATCCGATGAACATTTCTGCCTACGATAGAATAGAGAATAGTTTAAATCACCTTCGAGAGTTAAAGATCAAGATGAAAAATTTCCAGGACATTGGAACCTCCCTAGAAATATTTGTGATTACTCGTTGCGCAACCCACATTAGACAAATAACAATTGATGCACATTGCAGGATCGATGATGAGGGATTTTGTCTGGCAATATCTCGCCTTGTTTCCATGCAGAAGAATCTTTGTTCCCTGAGGTTGACTGAAAGGTGGGCGGACGTGGCGACACCTTTGATCTACAAGGCGATTCAGACGCAGTCCGAGTCTCTGACGACTCTAGAATTTTGTGAGTTTAGAAATTTACAGGCGTTGCTAGAGCTCCTAAGTAATTGCCCTAATCTAGAAACATTGTTCTTGACCGAACATTTTAGCATACAAAATGCACAAGAAATGTATGATTCCATCGACTACCTGCCACCAATTCACATCAAACACCTGAAAGCCTACAATATCTTGTTTCCAAAAATTTCCGATTTCACTTTGATGATGCAAACACTCATTCAGCTATCGAGTAAACGTTTAAATACCATAATGCTGCAATTCTCCGATTCGAACATTATCAGTGATATAGGTCAATTTTGTCCCCAGATCACTTTTCTGTCGTTAACCATCACCTCCAATGAACTCCATTCATTATATTCCACCCTACCATTGTTGACCTCACTCGATTACCTGCATCTCGTGTTCGCGCATATAGAGGGCTCCATCGGTTACATCAACGATCCGGTTCTTCCGTCCGACGAATCCTTGGAAAAATTGGCTAGATCTTTTCCCTCAAGGTTAAAGTACTTGGCCATTTACTTTGGAATTCCACCGTACAAGCGACCTATATTCGACCTACCGCGTTCGCTAGCCAAAATTCTCGGTAACATAAAAAATCCTCTTGAAAAGTTGGACATATATAATGAGATGGATTTGACATTGATGTGCGTGATTGCGGATTACGCGACCGAGATTGGAGGGCTGAAGAAATTGGGAATTGTCGATGGCTGGAGGAACGAGGAATTATTTGAACGGGTGAAAGATGTGATTGAGGTGATCGGCAAAGCGTACGTGTTTGGCATTAATTATAATAAGCCTTTCTACATTAATCGATCATGAACACCTCGACTATTTACCTCAATTTTTTGGCGGCGAAATTAATTAATCTGTACTTTAGTAGACTTGAGTTAATTGTATTAATTAATTAATTATATTTGCAAAATACTAATGATAATGATGGTGATAATAATAATGATACAGTAATAATAATAAAAAATTAGTAGAATAAGACAAACGAATAGATGAATTAAAATAATAATAATAATAATAATAATAATAATAATCGTCGTCATTATAAGGAAGAGAGACTCCTTGGTGGCACTAATTCGTGTTCATTCATTGGTGCGCCAGATCGGCGAATCCAAAGAACTTCCATCATGCAAGCTTAACTTTAATATCAACAATCCATAAATATTTACGCGTTTGTGCAGAGTCCAAACGGGAAGTATGCTCTTAACCGAATGAATTAAAAGGAATCATCTTTTTTATTTATTTATTACCTCATCCTTAATCCTTGCTTATTATGCTATGTGACTGTTGAGATCGTGAAATAATTGAATCTTTTTAGATCGCTGTTGACCTTTAACGTTTTACAAAAGATTTCCAAGAGAAGTTTACTTTTTAGTGGTCAAGTTGTACATTGTGTATATACGAGAGTTCGAATAACCCCCCGTGTCTTCAAATTCTATAAGAACAGAATTTTGAAAGGGAATGGACGGCGCTTGGAATTTTAACAAAAAAAAAAAAAAAAAAAAAAAAATCATGAACTCTCAGTCTGTGACTTCCCAAGCGGTCTCTCTCCAAGAAAAAACCATTCAGGAGACACTTCCCGGTGTTCTTTCCAAAATCAGAATTCCCTTTCCTCCGCCACTCCTTGAACAAGATCTTTTGCCGAAAATGAAGAAAGGCAAACTACCTTTCAGACCAACGAACCAATTTTTGTTGTACAGGACGGCGTTGATCAAAACTCTCTTTAAGAACGGTTATTACGAATATAACATGAGAGAGATTTCGAGGCTGGCTTCAAAGTTATGGAAGCTTGAGCCTGAATATGTTCAACGTGAATACCGGATCTTGGCTCTCAAGGTCAAGAAGATTCACAGGGAGTACGAGTTGCATTCGATCCATAGAAACACTCTCATGAACAAAGTTGATGTCATTCGTGTCCGTGATTCACCCAATGATTGGTCACGTGGTGACGGTTATTTCGTGCCGTCACCTAATCGAGATTACTGCAACCTTGAAACTCCCAATTTTCACAATCCGACACCTTACAATGTGTTCAGTGACAACACTTTAATCACACACGATGCACCGAGCATCGACACATTTAATATCTCCTGCGGTTCAAATTTCGAAGAATCACCACCGATCGTGTATCCTATTCACAATTTGATGAAACCAAACGTCGAGTCCTTCATCCCCTCTCATGAGCCAAATGTCAATGTGCTCAACTCCTATCATCCCAATCCCGAACCACCGGTTGTGTACACCATTCACAACTTGATGGTGCCAAATATCGAACAAAATAATTTTCCCCATTTTGCGACGGCCAATGATGTTCGATTTTGCAACTACGACCCGAATCTCGATTACTATGTCTAAATATTTTCATGTCGGTCAAAATATTATTATGCACGTGTAAGCCCTTGTATGATTAAAAAATTATTCCATTTTCCCAAGCAATTTCTCTTTGAATAATAAGCACAGTGTGTATTTTCTTCTCTTCATATCAAGCTAATCCGGTTTAGTTTAATAAAAAAAAAATTTTTTTTTTTAAAAAGAACTGACGATTGATTTGATTTGTCTTAAAGAGGCTATGATCTCCGGTTACTTCAAAATTGCTATATTTGCCATTTTACAGTACTTTCATCTGTTGCGCCAGATTTCCTTATCCACAAGGTAATCCGATAAACGCGTCAATCTCTGTGCGAAATGTTATTGCCATCGTCCTTTTGAAATCGCATTATTTGTATGCAGTATTATATACTGTCAAAAAAAAAAGGGAACAAGATGCTATCCTTTTGAAAATCCAAATTTGGCCTAATTAATAATACACAGTACACCTATTTTTGGATCATTGAAGTGACTGATTTATCAATCAATTTGATAACCAATTTGATTTCACGAGTAATCGTTAATTGGTTCGATTTCTCCCCGCCAATTCTTGGTGGATCGAAGAGAATATTCGTTCTCGAAATGTTCGCGACCTTTTTTTTCACAAGAATTTTTTTTCTTCTTTAATATGCTATTCGCAAATACTAAAAATAGTTGCCAGGTTCAATTTCTAATAGGAATGCCATTGACTTAAAAGTCTCCTTCTGCTATTCGAGTTGAACGAACAATCCTAAACTGAAATGTTACATGAGGAAATTCCCTGGATCCCGGGGATGTAACAAGAAAAACTTCTTGTGTCTATCCAAGTTTTCAAATAAATATACGCAGAGAACCATGAACTCCCCCTTACAAGTCAGGTGATCATGAAAAAAACAGATTCAAACACACAAACTTATCCCCCGAGAGAATGTGTTTTCATAGATTCTAGCCATCCTCTGTGTCAAAAACAGGTCATTCGCGACAACGACAGCCATTGTTTTAAACCACCATTCCCACCTTTGATAGATCCCAAGGATATGGTTTCAAAACATTCTGATGGAAAAAAAGTGCCGGCGAAGGCACCAAATGCTTTCATTATTTATCGAAGGGCATGTGTTAAAACTGCTCGAGAAAAAGGTTACCATTTACCGATGACTGTGATTTCCGCGGTGGCTTCGAAACTTTGGGAGCAAGAACCTCCACATGTAATAGATCTTACAAAAGCATTGCACAAGATGCAAACATGCATCACTCTAAAGCTTTTCCAAAACCTGTTCGTCACAAAAAGCGCGAGAGGTGGAACGTAGTATCATTTCGGGAATCCACTCGGTCGACCGGGGTCCCATTTTAAATAATTTTTTCCAACCGCTTCCGGCAAAAGAAGTCAAGGAATTTCGAATGTTACGTTGTTCTGATTTATCCATGAAACAAAACCCCAATTTCAATGTTACCAAAGTGGAGAACGTTTTAGTGAGTCCCGGGCCCGAAAAACTGTCCACCTATCCCAATCCCAATCTCTCCCTTGACAATCGCCAAGGGGCAATAGATTTAGACGATGTTGATAACCTATCGCATGCGGGAATGAATTTGGAATCTTCGGGAAACTTTTATCCAAGCTCAGGGATAATGTTGAATGACTACTTTGAAAGACTTGCTCCTGATGCGACTGTAATTCAAGATTATAGTTCACTCGGTATCCTGTCAACAATCACGGATGATAACCCGCTAAGCGTTTCGATCGAAACATCTCAAAATTTGACGAATAACTTGAAAATACATGACGAATTCTTTACAAACGATTTTGACACCATCTCCTCGATTTCTGATCATGTTTCGAACATGAATTTATTGTCAGATTTTGTGGAATTGAATTTCTACTCTGGGTAATGGGATGTGAACAAAATGAACAGTCCCTCCCGATAATTGGTATGATTTCCAACAATCCAACCTATTGGTTAATCGACACTATTATTTTGCCTCTGACATAACGATTAAGCGAAAAACACAAGATCAAGATCATAAAAAAAAAATTGGGGGGAGGATTCTTATTTATTTGCTTATAAATCTCTTAAAAAATTCTAATGCAATTGAGATTCAAAAGCGACCTGATGAGTGAAGGATAAAGGTGTAGAGGGATATATAAAATCAACATGAAATACAGTAGAATAATAAAAAAACTTTTTTGAAGATAATTAAATATAGTATTAATAATTTATATACCGATAGTTGCATTTTTGTAAAAAAAAAAAAAAAAAAAAGAAAAGAAAAGAATTATTAGATAGTGTTATACATTTTTTTTTTAGAACATCTACAATATTACATGGATTTTTATATGATAACTACAGTAATTGGTCTTTATATATCATTAGTTAAAAAATTACATTACTCAAAAATATGAGGAATTTACTAAAGTAGTTTGAACTAAACAAAACAAAGTCTAAACTAGGTACTCTAAGTCATATTTAGGGGACAATAATTTTATTTCCCTGGTAGATAGATTATGATCTTTATTCATCATAATCATTATCTACTATTTGTTATTATAGATTGTTCTAAAAAATAATGAATTGTTAAATTATTATACTGGAAAAGGAAAAAAAAGGAAAATGATTCAATACTCTTTAAAAGATTCTTATTCAAGTAAACAATTTATTCTCAAAAGGAATCTGTCTGGTTGAAATATTTTTTGATTTTGAATTATCTAAAAAATTTGATCATTCTTAAATATTCTTAAATATAAAGATTTTAAAAAGAATATTTGAGAAATTTATCTTTCTACTAATATATGGATTCACTTATCATATTACTAATATCAATATTAAATTACAATAGAGTTAATCTAATTAAAATAAAAAAACCTTTATAAAAACTTTGTCTGATCAGAATAAAAGCTTGGAAATTTCAGCTTTCTTTATAAAAAAGGTTTTTTATTATTTGAGAAGTTTTTTAAGAAATAATAATATCATATTTCATATTATTTGTTTATTTTTTAGTATAATAATTATTTTATTTGATTATTTTTAAATGTAAAAACTTCAAGAAGAATAGTTGAAAATTTTTTAACTAATATATAAATTTATATATAGTAATGATACCAATATCAAATTATAGTAAATTAATTTAATTGGGATAAAAAATCTCTATAAAAAATTTACTGAATTGAAATAAAACTTGAAAATTTTCAATTTTTTTCTTAAAAAAACTTTTAATCATTTAAAAAACTTATTAAAAAATAAAAATGTCATATTTTATATCCTTTACTTATTTTTTAATATCATAAATATTTTATTTAAAGAACTTACTCAGTTTGAAAAATAAAATTTTCATAAAAAAATTTTTTTTATCATTAATAATATTATTGAAATATGTAATTGTGATCAATAAAAACTTATTTATATTTTAAAAACTATACATTTTATATCAGCAAATCATCTTTATAAATATTATAAATCTATGAATTTATAGTATAATAGTAATGTTTCCAGGTTATCAAATATTATTTTCAAGTTCAATACTACTATGAAATAATACCATTTAAAGTCTTAAGTAATATAAAAGAATTTAATTTAATTAATAATAATGATCCTATTATCTTGACTAAGACTTTATCTGATTACAGAAATATAAAAAATCATAAAAATACTTTAATCAATTTTAAGATTACAAGTTATCTTATCATAAGATAGATTTTTATAATACTCTAGTAGATAGGTAAAGATTTATATGTCATAAAATAAAAAGGTTAATAGAATTTAAATATGTTAAATAAAAGAGAATTTTTGCTAAGTTTAATATTTGTCCAAAATTTTATTTATTATTTTTTTTTTTTTAACCTGCAGTCAGGTCAGTATAACATGTCTTTATTGTATATATGTTAAGTATTTACAAATTGTTGCAACTTTCACATACTGACTCACTCGTTGTTGAAAAAACCATTTCTCTAAATGCAACCTAGGGAATGATATTTCGCTCCTTTACTAATTTGAATAATTCCTCTAATTAATAAAATCATTGCCTACAGGTTATTACTGTAGATTATTCTAAGTTCTGTCTGCAGTTAAAAGACAAACCACTTAATTTCATGACAAACTCAATCCTTAATAATCGCTATATGCTTCTTTTTTTCTATTTCTTTAATGTCCTTCAGGTTTGAATCCTCTGGAGGTAACAGCAATTCTTTTTGGTCTTGTTCAGTCTGTTCGTCAGGTTTGAACTTGGGCCTCTTGTTTCTTTTGTTTTCTGTTATAATGTTTTACTTCTTTTCCTATTCTATAACTGTAGCACAGTGAGTATTCCAGTTCTTCTTTTTAAAGTTTGCTCTCATCTTTTGACAGAGTTTATCAATTATATCTTGTGTGTTTTCTGATAGAATTTTGAGCTGCTCTTTAAAATACTTTTTCAAGGAGGCGATCTTGCTTTCTTCTATATATCCACAGATGATATTGAAAAGGTCCCTGTCAGATTTCTGGATCTTTTCTAACTATTTGTCCATTCAGCCACTTATGTTAGATTGAACTTCTTTCTTGTCTTTTATTTCTTTACCGATAAGTTTCTTGATCTTTTCATTTGTCTTCTGCCATAAGTTCTTCTGAGTTTCCCTGGTGGCTGGGTATTCAAAAAGATGTTCTAATGTCTCTTTTTGCAGTTCGTATGCTGGGCAAATAGTTGTGGTGTATACATTTGATTTCCTCTTTTTAAGTATCGGTAAGACTGGAAGTTCATTGTAAGTTAAATTAGTTAAAAAGCTTTTGTTTTTATTGGTTTTGAAAGAGGTATCGAAGGTGTTGGTTGGATTGAACTGGTTCCAGAAAGTTGGCCAGTCTATAATCTTATCATTTTGGATCCAAAGATCTTGGATCCATTTCTGTGTTGTTCAGTTTAATCCAATCTTTTTCTTATTAAATGTTTTAACGAAATCTCTGATACCAATTTCTATTGTATGTTCTCCCCATAATGCTATTGTGAGGACTCTTCCTAGCTCTGATAGCTGATGCCAAGTTATTGGATTCTCCCGCCTGGTCTATTTGGCAAGTAAGTCTACTTGATTGTTGAATCTGTTGGTTCTATGAGCTTTGATCTTTAGGATTTCCAGATCAGGTCTTTCTTTTTTACTAGGTCCTTGATCTTACTCCAAAGTGGCCAGTTAGTGATCTTAGTCCATCTTCTTATAGATGTCTCTATTTGTGAGCAGATAGATTTCTATATTTTGACTGCAGTGTTACAGTCAGTATAGATCATAACTGTTGTGTTTCGAAGGGCTGTATACAATGCAGTGAGAATGGCTAATATTTCATCCTGGTTGCTGATGGCCATGTGACAGCTCCTGCTGAGAACTGTTTAACTATTTTGCCTTTCTCTATCATGATCCAAGCTAAACCCATTTCGAGTCACCATCTGTTGTCCCTTTTTTATAAGAGCCATCTGTGTAGAGTGTGAGTTGATCAGCTATATTCCTTTTGTTATGTCTCAAAATGCTCTTCAGTTCATCTTTGGATTCTTCTATTTGTATGGCTTTTTCTATTAGTGTGATATCCCAATCTTCCACTTGAATCTCTACTTCAATTGGTCTGAAAGTTGGTAGAACCACTGTTTGCTAAAATACATTTGTTTACCAGTCTATAGAGTTTCCTGGTAGAAAGATTTGTTTTCTTTTTCTTAGATTATTATGTCGATTAAGCTATGGGAGAAGGTGGATCTGTGATGGGACTACTTCTAATGGCTGCTCTGTGCTATCTGGTTGAAGATGAGTATTGTTACTAGTAGGATCGTATACTAGCTAATATGGGGTAAAATAGGTTTTGTTATTTATGGATGCTGTCTTTCCCCATGTATCTGTTAAAGTATTAACTTGAACTGCCCAGTAAATCTTTCTTCTATCTGGGTTTGTTGGGAATACCTCAGTTTACATATTATAAACTATCCATTCAAGCCCATATAGAGAGTTTCGTAGGAGATCTTGATTTACTGTTGTTTTTTTCTTCACTTTTTTGTATCAGAAGGGAACCAATCCCTTGCATCTGCTATAAAGAATTTGCACTGCTCTTCATTCCTTAAGTGTCATTGTGGTAGTGTTGATAAGCTGGTCTAAAAATATGATCTTGTGTTTTCATAGTGATGGAATGGCTTTTCCATATTCTCTATCCTCTTGCAATATAGATTTGATTGATAAGAT